CGTCGTTAACACATTTGACTACTTGCATAAAATTTTTTTCAACAGTCGTTTAGCTAATTGCTTGCCGCAAACCAACATAAGCGCCCGGTTGCTGAGTAATATCGGATCATGTGGTAAGAAGAGGAACGGTTAAGTGCGTTTTTCCTCACCATGCAACGTTAGAAGGTCGTCTGTTGAGGCAACGGTAGTCAGGTGATTGATAGACGTCCTTATGCTTACGAATGGCCTATTTAAGAATAAGACTCCTACCGAAATAGATGACATCAAGGAGGAGTGCTGTACGCTCCAGTCCCAGAAGAAATCGCGGAGTACATAAAAATGACCTTAAATATCTGATTCTGGGACCGTTGCTAAAACCATCTGCAAAGCAGGTGAAACAATTTCTATTTTGCTGCCTGAACAGTAGATTACAGCATATGAATCATAAGAAATGAATATGTACACCACGCTGCATAGGAGGCATGTGAAAGTAGGCCGAAAGGCGATCAAACATTAAATATATAGAAGGAAATTAAAAATATGAAGTGCGAATATGAAATATATAGATTTGAAAGACATGAATATGAGAGATACACTCGAATATGAAAGATTTGAGAACTGTGACGCAGCATGATACTTTAAGTTGTACTTAATATTATGGTCCTTTGAAGAGAGACCGACAATTATTATTCCATTGTTGTTTACCTATTTGATCTAAGAGACACAATGGATCTTTCTTTGCAGTTCAAAGAAAGCACATACCCCAGTGTAGATGTCAGCATCCGTCTACCCAGTACGATTTGTCGCCACAAGCTTCTGTATCTTTTATCCAACTCATCGTCCCCTTGAACTGAGCTATTCCAGTTGGGAGCATGAAGTCCCTTGAATACCAATCTGTAACCGTAACCGTAACCGTTCATCGACGTTCCATCAGGGGTGAGATATAAATCCACCGTAGTCCGACCTGAACAGCACGCGGTGTACTAGGGGTAATTTCTGTTTCTGCATTTTATTCTATTCAGTCTTGGCAAATAGTCATTTGCTAGGCGCAATGGGCAGAACCTCCGTTTGCCACTCACTCCGGCGGAATGGCGTGAATGGCGTTACAGATCCTTGCGATGGGGCTTCTCTCGGTAACCTCTAGCAGAGCCATCTCTTGTTTAGAGGTTTCTCCTCCGCACCCCGGAGCGGGACCTCATCGAGCGGAGATATTAATCTAATATCCGTTTTAAATTATTTGTCATCAGTGTGAATCTCTTGCTCGTAGTTTTTGACTGGGCTCTATTTTACGTAACCAAAATCGTCAAGTAGTGTTAAGCTAGTCGAAATACACTGTTCATGTTTACCTATTATGATGCATGATTGCTATGATATCTTTTTCGTAGAAGCTTTGTTTCCTGTAGCCGAAAATGCAGATTTAGAACGTTGGTGATTTCGCCGTAGAAAAGCACCCTTTGCTGCACCTATGCGCAAATCCATCACGTAGGACTGCCGGCTATAAGGTTCTAGGGATCT